ATATACCTAGTTTTTAACTGCCATTTGAAAGCTTTCAAAAATATTAGCAGCTGCTGCATGTTCCATGGAAACAGATGTCAAAAATCCAGTTACAACTTTATTTTAGGTCACACTGCTAATATCTGATTTATGTAAATCTAATTTCTTTTTTAAATTTGTTTTATTCAAAGTCTTATTAAATAACAAGGCAAAGACTTCTTAAATTCGTCATACATAAGACTCTGAAAATAAGGTATTAATTCAAAATGGTAGAGATAAGCAATATAAGAAAAGTGTCTTGCTATAACACTGTCAGGGAACATGCATGAAAAAAGTTTGCCCATGTCACTAAGGTCTACCAGTGACTTGTCACCACTTTCAAAAACCACAAAATTTCAGCATCCAGAACATCTTTTGAAGCTCTTACAGCATCATCTAAAGTATCTGAATTTTGTGAATCACGGATAACAGTTGGGGAACTGGAAGGTGTAACTCTAACGTAACTCTAACGGATTTGGTTTTAGGAAAAAGCTTGCTATTCCACCGGCAACTGTATTTTTCCCTTTCAGAAATTTTTTATGCTTGCTACCTAGAAATAAATTGAATTTATTATAGATTTATTTATTTTTCTATTCTTATTAATATTTAAATAATTTAACTTAAATTCTAAACATTTTCTAAATTTTCATTATACGACAGTTTTCTCTTAACAGATAACTAATTTAAGTAAGTAAATTAAAGTAAAAAGTCATTTAAGTAAAAAGAGGAACATTTCTGAAATTAGATGAGGGGAAAATTTCACATATAATCACTCTTTCACAATAAAAGCTTAAACTAACCAGCAAGCTAGGGAATTGTCAATTTCCAGATACCTGAAAATTCCTAACAGTCAAGTGTAACTGGAAAAAGAGGGAGTAGATGCAGCCGTTTTTAAGATTTTTTGGCTAAATAATGTTTTTGACATTTTGATACGTGCATCAAATAAAATTTTTAAGAATATTTCTGTACTTCTGAAACATCACAATATTTAGAATATAAAATATCATGAAGATCTTAATTTTACATTGACTAGATAACAAATGTTGCTCTTGATTAAAAAGAAAGAAAAAACCATGATCTGAAGTCCAAAAAAACTGTAAAAATATATTTATAAACATATAAAAATAGCCCCAAAATATTCTACTAAGCAATTACAGTAAAACCCTTTTAAATGCTCATAAAAAATTCCCAGACTGAATATCAAAACTTTGCAAATGTTATTGCACAATATGCACACCTTTCCTGCACATGATACTATGCAATTGGAATCAACTGCTGTCAGTATTTAGAGAATAAATAATTAAATAAAGGAAAAGATAAAGACTTAACCCATCTGGAATGTTTTTCATTCTAATTTTAAGAACACCACGGTTAATTTTCGGAATAGAATGCCCCTTTGTTTGGGTTGGTAGGACGCACAACTTTTAGTCCTGCTCATAATCCAGGTTGGAAAGTGACCAAAAAAAAAAAGTTCACTGCTTGTTTTGTTTGAAGCTCTAACGGTTTCAATATTCGAATTTTTCGGAATGGGGGAGAATATGGACTCTTAACTCCACCACACTTCCGTATTATATAATGTACTGACAAAAAAATTGGAAATGTAAGCCCGGAATTTCCAGCTTGTGAGATACGCATGAAATACAGAATTAATAGGAAGGAGGAATATATATATATATAGTATAAAAAAGCTTTCAGAAAGCAGAAAATGAAAATTAAAAAAATTAATTGGCAGGGCAGATTTTAATCTTTTAATTTCACACATTAGAATTAATATTAATTAAATAGAAAAAGTTTACTTACGATCCATGTGACACTTTAAAGCAGACCCTCCCATGCTTCCTATATTGAGATTTCAGTTTTAGCTCAGGAACACATTGCAATTGTTTTCGCAAGCTTTAAGTCATTCCGAATATTCTTCCTTAGAAAGCCAATCTGTCTTAAAAACACACTTACCCATTCTTAAATACATTGTTACAAATATTCATACACGTGGATCATAATAAATGTGAATATGAAGTGACCTCATGGAATGAAAATGCAAATTATTAAAATCTTGATAGTTCAACTGCATACTATAGACGTGCTTATAGTCTGTGGGCGCAAGTACAGGGGCAGGAAAAAGAATGTGAAGTGTACCAGAACCTACCACATTCACAATTCTTTGACAAACAGAACAATGTGCACCTATCTGTACTCTTCATGTGTTAATGAAGAGAAAAAGGGAGAAAACCTATTTTCTGGAGTATGATTTACCATTTGACACTTCAGATAAGGAAGAAAAGTTCTTTATTTAGTTTCACCTTTTAATACAAAAGAAAATTTGCATTAGTTAAAAAAAAAAAAAAAAAAAAACACTCAAAACAAAAATAAGCACTTTAGAAGAAAAGTAATCCCCTATAAGAGCATTTATAATTTATTCGCAAATATAAGGACTTAGTGTTGGCGTTGGAGCAGAAGCAAAAGAATACTTTGCCTTGCTTAAATAAAGACTGGGATTAATCTAAAATTAAACTAATATTTATTTCATAACCAAAATAAAACTATTACAAAGTACTATAGTAAAGGCTGCAATAGTAGCCTTTACATTAAAAACAACAAAAGAGAAAAGGAAACCAGTGAATCTCCTCGCACCGAAATAAAACTATTACAAAGTACTATAGTAAAGGCTGCAATAGTAGCCCTTACATTAAAAACAGCAAAAGAGAAAAGGAAACCAGTGAATCTCCTCGCATTTACAATTCTGGCAGATATAACACAACATCGGCCAATGAGCAGCAACCACGATAGTTTTTCATCGATTGAACTTTGATCTAATTTGCATGAAGAAAATAACCAAAACCAGAATATTGAGTCAACAGCAGTCCTCTTTTCCTCATGCTAAAAAAGCTTAACTAACACAGAATTAGAAGAATTCATACTTCAGTTCTATAACGACAAATTATACTTATTGTTCTTAAATACCATAAACTGTTAAACAAAATATTTTTCAAGTCCATAGCAGTTGCAGCTTTTGTAAATAATTCTGCATTATTTAATTTTGGTGGAGATGAATTCGAGGTCGAACACCCCATCATTCACCAGTTTTTCAATAAAGTGATATCGTAAGTCAATGTGCTTAGTCTGACAGCTATCGATTGGTGATCTAGAAAATTCAGTGGCAGTTTTATTATTGCAAAATAGTTTACTTTCAAACTGAATTTCAAAACTTCATCTTGTAAGATATTTTTTATCCACACCAATTCCTTCGCTGCTTCCAATAAAGCAATATACTCTGCCTCCATGGTGGATAAACTTACATAAAGATGTTTTCCAGATGACTGATACTTCATCTAAATGCAATATGAATCCACCGATGGACAAACAGTTATCTTGTTTTTCATAACATAATCTATCCCAATTATTAAAATACATCCATATCTTTCTGTTTGAACCTATTAGATGGGTACTTGCCTTTTCTAACCTTGCTCCCAATAGTTAATTTCTTCTTAGATTTGGATTATACATCACATTTTCTAACTCAATCCTATTTATTCAGTTGCCTAGTTTTACCGCAAATTTGACAGTACCTTTTCCTAGTGCTTTACTTTCATAATTTTCTACAGCTAGAGTTATATGTATATCATCTATTTCCTCAAAGTTTATCATTAAATTTTTGGTAATTATAGAAATGAGATGTAGATGCTCTTTCTATGGCCCAATTAAATTTATCTGCGTTACCTCCTTTTTCTGTAGTTGACACATAATTTTCCACTAACATTAACTCTGTATCTTTAAACTGCCAATTTTTATTGCTTATTTTACCTTCTGATTTTTGCTTAAATTTTCCTTACACTGAGCGATTTAAGCATCCACTTTTACAGCCATCTATAATAATCTTTGTATTCCCCATTTCTTTCTTAGATTTAGTTTTACTTTCAACTTGGCTATTTTTCTCGGCATTCGTGCTAATAGTAGTACTAAATATGCTTACCTTGCTTTCTTCTAAATTCTGCTTGTACCTGGAAAGTCAACTTTCTTCCCTTACCAGTTCTTCAGCAACACAATCCTGGAGTATTCCTGGGCTAACCTCTGAATTACTTAAAATCCATTAAAAAGATCTGCTGTGTCCAGCTTCAGCTAGCTCCTTTTTGCAGTCATTTTTATCCTTGCAATGAATAACCCAATTTCTTCATCCGGTCCATATCTAATGTTGAAAAATTCATCCAAAAGCTGGATTATTCTTATTCTTGTTTTTGATGCAAATTGTTTCTGTACAGCCTCCCATGCTTCTTTACCACTTGAACATTCTGGTATCAATGGCTTGAACTCAGTTTTAATTCCATAATATAGTGTAGTGAAGACTCTATTATCTCTCAATGTGAAATCCTGCTTCTCACACCTTATAGCACTTTTACCCAATTCTTCTTCTTTACCTTTTATGAAGCTCCAACAATTTCTGTCTTGCAACAGCACCTTAATATTGACTTTCCATGTCATGGTTCAATAATTCAAACCTTCCTGGTAATAATGACATCTTTAGTTACATGTGAGCACAACCGCTTGAAACAACTTCTAAAACATTTCAGTTTCTTTATACAGATAACAGCCCTCTTCTCTTATATTCCTTCAATGCTAAGTAGAACTGAGCTCATAACCTGTTAGCACTGGAGCAAAAGCAAACATATACTTTGCCTTGCTTAAATAAAGAATAGGACTAATCTAAAATAAAACTAATATTTATTTCAACCTAAATAAAAATAAGCTAGGCTGCAACAGCAGCCTTTACATTAAGGAAAAAAAAAAAAAAAAGCGAATCTCCTCGTATTCACCATTTTGGTGTGTATAACACAACATTGGCCAATCAGCGACAGCCACATTAGTTTATTGCATATTGATCTCTGATTTAATTTACATGAGGAGAAAACAACCAAAATCCGGACATTAAGTCAACAATATACACTTGTAAGGAGTGCTTACGCACCCTGCCAACAAAAAAGACAAACCTCATTAAAGATATGCTCCCGCATGCGATGAAACTCCTCTTCCATCTCCGCAGGATCATCTTCTTCATTGTTTGGGTTATAGAGTTTCTTCACCTATATAAAAATCATATAAATCAATAGCTCCTTGAAATACGAAATCAAATATTTAATTTTACAAACATAAAAATAAGTAAATGAAACAAAATGCACATACCTCAGGCAGAAGAATAGCTTCTACCTCCTCTACATCTAAGTGCCCATCTCCATTAACATCTAAATCAATAAAATGATGTTAGAATTAAAACGTATACCTTATGTTGGAAAAAAAAAATTAAGTAATAAAATACAAACAATCACACTTTGATAATACTTAAATCTAAGTACTGATTAAAATCTGATGTCTGTAGTGGAATAATTCTTAAAAATTAACTAAAAATGTATAAGCAGATCCTTCACATATAATATTCTAGTTCATAGCAAAAGCAACTTTAGTTCTACTCTCCCACCAAAAGCAATAAAAAAGCATGAATGAGGCATGAGGCAATAAATTACGTCATCAAAAGAGTATTTATCGGAGGCAATCCATGATGTCACCAAAATGTATTTATATGGTAACCTATGTAAACTGCTTTTTTTTTTTAAAAAAAAGGGGAAGACGACAGTTCTATATCTCCCGTTCTAATGGGCCGATTCACGAAATTCAAATTGCATTCTTCATGTCTCGAAAGCGTGACTTAGGATATCTATTAGATTTATATATAGCACTATTCTAACATAGGTATTTTGACACAAAATCGAACTTTTTCTGAAATAACATACCAATTTTTTTACATATTTTGATTCTACGACTCAAATTATGCCTAACATTATATTTTTAATTATACATTTACATTATATTTTTAATTATAATTGTTATAAACTTTAAGTAATTTTTTTTCTTTTTCGAATTTTTCATTTAAATTGTTTACGTTGCATAGTTTTTCTTTCGAATAACTGTTTTAAAAACTTTTTTATTTACTCATTCGAACTGCGTAGTTTAAATCAAAGGTGCATCATTTATTTATTTATTTATTTTTTTCAAATAGTTTTCTTTTATTACTATATTTTAGGTCATAGTTACTATTTTAGGTCATTTTTAAATTTTTAGACTTTTATTTTAATTGTTAGTGTTGCATTGTCTCTTCAGATAATTATTTTAAAATTTTCTATTAATTCATTCGAACTGAGCATTTTAAATATATTTATTAATATAAATTTTGCAGAATTTGATTTTATTTATTTGAATTGCATTTCTTTCGGAAGAATACACTGATCCTCACTGGTGGCTGTGATAGCATCTACTTTTGACCGGCATAGTAATTCTCATGCGACCCAGACTAAGAAGCATTTAAAAACTGCATATATTAAAAGAAAAATATAGTAAAGCACAGTTAACACGTCTTTTAGCGTTCCGTTCAGAAAAGATATATAAATAAGAGAGATGTATAATCAACATTTTAACTTAGGATGACTTGCATACACTATTTTAAACAGTTTTTCTTCAGGCATTCTGCAAGTATATTAAAAAGCATCATACTTTTCAAAACATCTTGGTATTTCTTACAATCATTTTAAAAAAAAGTTATTGCCTTCAATTTGATAAAGGCCAACAAACGGCCGAGAAGTAAAGTCGCTGAACACTGGTAGTTCACTCCGGGGTTTGAATCCCAGTAAACGGGCTGGTTGCATGTGCGTTTTCGTGGATTTTCTCATGTGTAACATGTATGCCAGCTGGTTTCCCTTAGAAAGTTCTTCATGAAGGCATCCTTCCTTTTAGGCAGATAGCCCTGCTTTGCCGTAACTTTAATAATCCAATTCAATCCATTTCATTAGTATTTAAGTCAGAGCCTTTATCAATCTTTAGAGGTTTAGCATTTTGAAGGTATGAGATGAAAGGAAAGGCTGGTTTCATCAAGAGGTTTTGGTTTATTTAATTATGGCAAAGCACAATAGGGCTATCTGCCTATGGCGAGGGTTTGCCTTTGTGGAGGACTTTCTAAGAGAAACTGGTTCGTATACACGTTACACATGGGGAAAACCACCAAAATGCCCATGCAGCCAGCCCATTCGCGGGATTTGAACCTTGGACCGAACTACCAGTCTAAAACCGAACTATATAGTCTAAAACTAGTCGCTCTTCATTTTAATCTGCAATGATATCATTTTTGTCTTTTCTGTTAACTCAAGTTGAATTGATGGTGTACACATTCAAGTGTTTTCTGTTTGAACACCTAAATTCTTTAAAGTATCCTGAAAGTATATTCAAAAGTGTTCAACTTTTTGAAACATCTTAGTATGTCTGACAGCCAAATTTCCCTTCAAATTTTTGCTTACTTTTCTCCGTAATCTTCTTCTTTCCTTCTACAGTTATTTTCAGTGCTCAAGAAAATTAAGATTTTTCGATTGCTAGACTTCCATAAATTTTGCATTCTTGTCAATTTTTTAAAAATATCAATTGCATCAACTGCGTTTCAGTTGAAGACAGCTTTTCATTTTCTAGACATTTTAACTATAAACAAAGTATAGAGCAAAGTCCAAAGGATAAATATTTTAATTAAAAGATTTTTTGCTAAATGACAAAGAAATAACAGAGTCCAGTAGTGTTTATTCTGTACCACCGAGTAACCCGATTCTTATATCGGCTGAAACAATCTAAATCATATTAAAGATCATGTTTTTTATACAATCTATAACGCAAGAGAAAAATTTAGCTTCTTAAAACATTCTTTCTGAGAAGAGGATTAATATAAAAATTTATATTTATATATATATTTTTTAAAGCTCGGACTTGAACCAAAGTGTCAAACTTTTAAAGTTTAATTTACATGGTGGTTATAATTAAAGTTCCACTTTGAAATGGTCATTAAAGGAAAACTACCGCACCAAATGTTATCAAACTTGGGAATCGTGTAAAGGAGGTTATGGGACTTTATTTTCCGCCGGGGAAAAAAAAAAAAAAAAAAAAAAGAGTTCAAAAACTCACCACCAGGGTAAAATGGCACTGTATGCAATATTGTTAAATGATATAAGACATGAAAACTTCGGTTTAAAATGTGTTTAATCGTTTCCGAAACGTGTTACAAAGCATGTTCAATGTAGCGTCCAGCATTTTCCGAAAGCAAGTTAAACCCTGTTACTGCATTGTCAACAGCAGCTCTTAGCATATCAGGAGGAATGTTACGGACATGTTGGTGTATCACATTTTTCATTTCTGCCAAATTGTTTAGATTATCACCATAAACAGAGCTTTTGAGATAACACCATAGCCAAAAGTCACAGAGGTTGAGGTCTGGTGGGAAGTGGGGAAGTGTCAGCCTATAAGACGTTCATTTGTGAAATGTTGCCTAAGTAACTGTGCGACACACGTGAGGTGGAGCCCAGCCCTGCATAAAAATCGTAGTATCTAAAATGCCACATTACTGCAGTTCATGTATCACGAAACATTGACTCTAAGCGAGCCGCAATCACAGTAGTCCAGCTGTCAACTGCTCTTCAGAGAAAAATGGTTCAGTTATGAAACTAGCTATCATTCCTGTCAAACTGCTGTGCAATCGAATGCAGTAGGAGAATGCAATGGAACTAGATAGATAAAATGAGGGATTTCTTTGGCCCAAATCGATTAAAAGCATTTTGAATCAGTATATTCATGTTTTAGGGCCGAATTCAAGCTTAAAAAATTATATATTAGCGATCTGTAAGAAAACAACTTCCAGATTGTACGCACTTGTGCTAGTGATTTGCGATATCACATTTTCTAATCGCTAATTCGCGGTTTTCGCAGAGGAATTTCTCCCTTACACGGATGGTGATTTATTGACTTTAACGCCTTTAAATGATAATTTGCTTACTTCGAAGTTTCTTAAGGGTATACAACATATTAAACCCATGTAACAAAAGTTAAGTTAGATTCTGACCCACATTTCGTTTAACAATATTGCATCAAGAACCATTTCCCACCTTTCGAACTTTCTTTTTTTTTTTTTTTTTTTTTTTTTTTTTTTTTTTTTTGCGGAAAATAAATTCCCAGGACCTCCTTTACACGGTTACCAAGTTTGATAACATTTGATCCAGTAGTTTTCCTTTTATGACCGCTTCAAAGTGGAACTTTAATTATAAGCACCCTGTATGTTATTAAATTTTAATTTGAAGCTATGCGTTATATGTATACCATGCGTATGATTTTCGCTTTTATGGAAAAATAAAGAATCGAAGCAAATACACTTAGGATAACGGACCAAACTTGAAAAAAATTTCCCCACCCTGCGAAAAAAAAAAATATTGAAACTTCGACCTTGAATTTATTGGATTATCGAAATATTCAATTTGACTTATCTTCTAAGGCCTAATTCCGACAACAATTCTGTCAAAAATTCCGAATTACTAAAGCCGAAGTAAAAGGTTTAGAATATATTCACTGTAAGTAATCAGAGTGTAATAAAAATAGATTATAAAATTTATGCTGATGCAATTTTTCGTTTGAATGCACATCATGTAATGGAAAGAGAAGGCTTGTAGAGATCTGTTTCTGACATGCCTCTAAAAGTAGATGTCGTACTCTTTTTGTCTCTTCAATGTCAAAAAACTTTCCTTTGAGAAGCAACTTTAGTTTTTGGGAAAGAAAAAAAAATCACAAGAAGACAAATTTGATGAACATGCAGGACGATTGAGTACACATGCTTATTTTTGGAACACAAGCGTTTCTCTGATTGGTTATTGAATAATGAAAAGATGCATTGTCATGCAATACAAAACATTTGGAATACATTTTCTGACTGAAAACGTAAGATTAAAAGTCATCTGCTTAATTCACAGCCATTTACAAGTCAACTACTCAGGCAATTGCAGAATGGTTTTGATCCCAAGCTTATAAGACAAACCTATGGATTTAAACATCTCTTTAATCTTTCAAGAACATTCCTTCTTTAGCTCATATTCCAAGAATATTAAGTGAATACAATTATTGCAAAAGAAATTGAATATTCATTTGCACTACGGCTTGGTAGTTTACTAACGAGTTAACAAAACTTAAATTCTGCTTTTTGTGTCTAAGAATACGACAATATTTTAAATATTTACAAATAAAATATTAAATTGGAGATTTAATTGGAGCCTCACCAGTTGCCTAGCATTTGAAGATTGCTAAATACTAATTGTTTGTTCAAATAACCAACTAACCTAGTTTAAACGTGATTTCCAAGTGAAGTTACCAGCAAAACCCGAATACTCATTAAAAA